TGAAGATATGAATAGTCACGTACTAGACTTTTTCTATGCCCTAAACTGAACCATTTGGAATTATTTTCTGAGTACCATTCTAGTTCCACTTTTGAAATACAGGATTTTCCACTTAATGAAAAGTCTAGAATTTAACCTCCTCAGATTAGTTGTTCTCAAAAGAATCAAGGCCTTTTTATTTTTATTTTTTAATCATTTCTGAATACTTTGAACATGAATTATATCATGCTAAAAGAACCTGCAGACGAGTGGCATTCAGCTCATCCTATTGGTACTACTGGCCTACTGAATGGTTTTAGAAATATATATTTTTTTAAATTACAGGGTACAAAGAAAGTTCAGTTTTCTTGTTCAAAGAAACAGTCTTCATTTCATGGATAAACAAAGCACTCAATGCCAAGGTAATATGTTAGGCTACAAAATTCACCACCTGAAATAGGTGTCAAAATATAAAGGATCAAATTCTTACCAAGATGAATCTGGGACTGCATTACTGTAAGTTCTCTCTCTATCCATCAAATTCACAGTTAGAAAGAACTTATGGGGCCCTCTAGGACAATCCCTCCATTTTACAGAAGACTGAGGCCCCGAGGAATTCAGTGGCTTGCCCAATTTTACACAGATGATAAGTAGTAGAGCCATAATTCAAACCCAAGTGCCCTAATTCTAAAATGCTCTTTCCACTGCTCTGTAGGAGATTCAACCTACACATTGCAGTATATTCTTCTGTTTCATCTTCAGGGTACCAATGTAGCACTGAAACTGTTCATTTATTTTCTCTTTTGCTTGACATATGACTAACCCACCTCCTTTACAGCATTACATATTTATCATCAATGATTCCTTTCACTTGCCATATTCATGTGTAAGTCGTGTAGGTAATGTTTTGTAGTTTGCTTCTGAACACTATATCTTTTTCCATCATCCACTGAGTCACTTGAATTTAGTTTTTTTTTTAATTCTAAGATTGTAGTGTCCCAAGATCTGAATCTATATATCACTTGTGAGAGAATATAGTGCTAAGGAAAAGCATAGAGCAGGTCAGATATCATTGAAAGCACCATATTGGTTCTTAATTACAATCTGGTAGAATGTAATGACACTTAAATGCAGATATACTGTAGTTTTTGTCTCTTAATCTCCAGGGCCTAAAACATTGCTTTGCATAAAGTAGGCTCTTAATAAATGTTTATTGAATTTATTTGAATTCAGTCCAAATCCCTTCTTCCTTCTCAAATCTGGGCCAGGTCATTGCACAGCCTGTCAAAGACAAATATATTGACAGATTTACTCTAAAGGCAATCAGTCCACTCGAATACTGAAATCTGAGCAACATGTCTTTCATGACTTTGTTTTCCTAGTGTGGAAGGTTAAAATAATTTCTTTTCAATGATTATGGATTTCAATGAGCAAAATCTGTGATGTTCTAAGGATTAATATAATCATCACAATGTCATGTGCAAATGGGAACATCTGGAAAATTTCACCATCAATAAGGAATCTTTCTGTTTGGATTCTGTGCAAGACATTGTCCATGACTGGTAGGCACCTTATGTGAGCATATTTCTCCCTATTTCATGCCTATGCCAACAATCAGCAAATTGTTAAAATTATGTCCATAGTCAAATATGTCATAAAACCAAGTATTATTGTTTTATCTTATTTAAGTAAAGCCTTTAAAATTTAATTTTATTTTAAGTTTTAAAAAAAAATTTGGAGGAGGAATAGGACAAGGCATAAATGTCCAGACCTGATTTCATTGATGTGGGTAACTCCCCACCTCCATCAATGCAGGTCAACAACTCATCTGTGACATAAAGTTTTAAAATCTGGGAGCATGGGGAAGTAAGTGTTCCTGGAGGGCTATTGTTTGACCCCAAGGAATGTGTAATCAACCAATCAAAAGATGAGAAGATAAGATAAGATAATAACCAATCATAGGACTTGTCTCCAATACAACCACAACTACCCTTCACTAATTAAGGCCTCATACAACACCAACTTTAGTGACCTTACATCTCCCAACATCTTCCTTTTGAGCCAGGCTTAAACCTATCCTCAGCAATTATGCAGCTGTCATTAGGAAAATCACTTTTCACCAGCAACATACTACCAAAAAAAAATAAATTACTGATGGAAATGTGTGATCAAAAAAGTTTGGAGACTACTAGCCTTGAGCACTGAGAGCTTACAGGATTTGTCTATGATCATGCTGCCAGTATGTGTCAGAAGCAGACTAGTAACCCAGGATTTCCTAATTCCTATCTACCATGCCACTTTTCTCTCAGAATCAAACAAATTAAAATCAGCAAACAATAAGAAAATTAAAAATAACCACATAAGTTAGGGGACCAAATGGAAAAGTGTATGATGATAAATTTTAACAACCAGCTGTATGAAGAAAAAAAAAGAACACACTTTAGTTTAATATGCATTATTAAAGTTTTCTCCATCACTTTCTTAGGTCTAGACAATGAACAAAACAGCAAATCAAAGCTTGATTTGTAGCTTTTAGAATTTCTAAGGTGTCAATGCTCACACTGAAAATTTTAATAATAGGCTCTTGGTAGCCAGTTTGAGCTGGGTCCCACACATACCTGAAAAATGTCTGATCCATTACAGTACATAAAAATAAAATTTTACTCCAAATGCTCAAATTATAAAATATTCATCTCCCCATAATGATTTTTAAACACATGCCTTTCTATCAGTCCTATTTATCTACATCTGAGAAAATTGAAAGATCTATATGAAATATGCTTAATTTTGTCTTTAACAATTGGTTTTATGGTAAGCAAAACTAAATGATCTAACATTTTAAAGAAAAGTGAAAAAGAATGAAACTTTCTAAGCTACTAGATTTAAGAAAGCTCAGCTCTGGCCCCAATATATAATTCACTCTGCTGTGATATTTGCATTTTCTACCTAGGATGTTTTTTTAATAAAAATTTCACACTTCCATCTCTGCAGTTACTAGGTTTTAATCATAATGAACACCTGTTCTGTATGTCTTTTAAAGGAGAATTAATATTCCCCCAAGAACTTCAGATGCTAAAGTGATAATAGTGTCCCTAGGGTTTTCAAGTGGTTAGTTTAAATTCCAGGTCCTTAACCAGATATTTCAGAAAAATTCTCTTTATTCTTCCTTAATCTTTATGAGAGACTTTACTTGTGGCAGAATCTCAAATATAAATGTGCTGTTTCAACAGCAGTTACTAGGTTTAGGTCCCTTAATATTCTTTGGCCTTAGATGATTTCATGAGAGTTGAAACAACAACAACAAAAAAAATCACAGTTTATGCTCTTTGTCATGAAATGAAAATCTCAAAGTGTCCTTAATAAGTCTATGCCTAAGCCTAAGTAAAAAATTCTTTTAAGATAGAAAATCTTTTTTCATATCCAGCATGAGTAAGAATGAATGTCAAAATCATTTGATAAATCAGGTTAATATTAATATGATGATAATAATATCTTAATACAATCATGGGGAAGCTAGGTGGTGTAGTGGATAGAGTACTGAGCACGTAATCAGGAAGATCCGAGTCCAAATTAGGCCTCAGACATTTACTAAATGTGTGACCCTAGACAAGTCACTTAACCCTTATTTGCCTCTATTTCTCATCTGTAAAATGGGGACACACTGGAGAAGGAAATGGCAAACTACTCAAGTCACTTTGCCAAGAAAACCCCATGGACAAAGGCCATGGGGTCATTTAGAGTCAGACACAACAACTGAACAACTACCTCCCAAGACGGCTGTAAGGATCAAAGGAGATAATAATTATAAAGGGTTTAGCAGAGTGCCTGGCACATAATAAGTGCTATATGTTAGCTATTATCATTTTCATTATGCCAAATGCAAAGGTCTGACCATGATACTCCGCTAATCAAAAATCTTCAATGGCCCCCTATTTCCTTTAGAATGAAATAAAAACACCTTAGGTTGATATTTAAGGCCTTCAACAATCTGACTGTAACCAATGTTTCTAGTCTTATTTCACACTATTCCCTTTCACAAGCATACATTCCAATCAATCTGCACTCTGCTTCCTCCACATATTTATGCAAATGGTCCCTCATAACATGTCCTCCACATCTCTGATTATTGAAATTCTTCTTTTCCTAAAAAGTTCATCTCAAAAGCCACCTATTCCATAAAACCTTTCCTGATCCCCTCGCTTAAAGTGACTTTTTCCTCCTCAAACCTCTTCATTCTATCACATTCTATTCTGCATGAGTTACTTTGCACTATTCTGCATGAGAATTATTTTGTACATGTTCTATCCCATCTCTTCCAATTAGACTGTGAACTCACTGACAGAAAAGACTATATAGTTTTTTCATCTTTGTATCCTCCATGCCTGGTATAAGGGCTTGTGTACTATAGGTTTTTGATAAATGTTTATTGAATTTAATTCATTTACTCCACGTGCATATAAATATGCACACATATATACACATATATGTATCTATCTATGCATGTATGCATATACACACACATATACATAAATATATACATAGAGAGTGTATGTGCTCTCCATTTCAATCAAATATCCATTTATTGATTGGCTACTCTGTGCAGGACACTATGTTAAGTATTAAAATAATCCTTAGTCCCAAGGAACTTAGCTTTATGATGAACAAGACAGTCTGCTAAGTGCTTTCAAGAACTCAACTGCAAGAGTTGAAATATATTAAAATGTTATGGCATCATAACATTACAATTAAAAATCACAAATATATTAGTTTATTTATATGTTTATAGAGTATGAGATTTCTCACTATGACCTTAATCTGCTTCATCTGATCCAGTCGCCTTTTCTGCCTTACACTAGTAATGAAACTGGTAGAGCAGTTAGTCTCTTTTTTGTTGTTGTTGTTCCATGTTTTTATTGAGACAAGAGAACAAACAGCTGTAGATAAGAAATTTTTGTCCCATGGAATGGGGGCAGAAACAGGTTGGTTCATGTGGTCCATTCTATGGAAGCAGGGAGTGGGAGTAGTTGTCCAGGGGCTCTATTCAAGGATAATAAAATGGATAGGGATTCTAGTCCCCACGAGGGGGCTGCAGGTAGCTGATGACAGAATCGATGAAGTCAGTCGTGGTGCTGTGACCCCCCATGTCCCCCGTTCGAACTTTGCCAACTTTTATCACCTTCTTCACAGCATCAGCAATCATTTTGGAGTGATATTCCAGGCTGAGATACTTCAACATATTGCTGGAAGACAGCAACATGGCAGTGGGGTTGGCAATGTTCCTGCCCATAGCCTGGGCAAACGGGTGCCTTGCACCTGTTTCAAAAACAGCGCATTCATCACTGTAGCTCTCACCAGGAACCACGCCCACACCCCCCACCAGACCTGCTGCCAGGTTGTCAATGATGTTTCCATAGAGATTGGGCATCACGAGCACATCAAACTGGTATGGATTCTGCACCAGCTGCATACAACAGTTGTCTATGATCATGGTCTCAAACTTGATCTTGGGGTACTGCTCGGCCACCTCCTCACAGCACCGCAGGAAGAGCCTGTAGCCCAGCTTCATAATGTTGGCCTTGTGCACAGCCGTGACCTTCTCTCGACCCTTAGTGGTGGCATAGTCAAAAGCAAACTTGGCAATTCGCTGAGACTTGGCACGAGTGACGATCTTCAAACATTCAATCACACCCCGGACACTCTCGTGCTCCAGCGAGCTGTACTCTCCCTCGGTCTGCTCCCGGATGATCACCAAGTCCAGGTTGCTGTGCCGGGTCTTACATCCCGGGAGGCTCTGGACGTGAACAACGTTGGCAAACAGGTCCAGCTTCCGCTTGAGCATCATGCTGTACGAGGTCAGGTCCCCGGTGTAGTCCAGGGACGGGTGGATTTTCCCACTGATGGCAACCTTGTTTTTCTTTATGGAGTTCAGCACTTCCTCCAGTTTCTCTTCTGAGGCCCTGTTCTGTACCTCACTCAGATGAAACTCCTGAAATTTCACGGGGACCTTGGCTGCCTTGAAGACTTCTTTGACAGCTAGCATGAGTTCGGGCCCCACACCATCGCCAGGCACCATAGTGACCGGATATAGGCCCTCCACCTTCACAACATCCATCGCATGTCGCGGGGCCGGGCGGGGGGGAGCTGTGGTGATCAAGCCCCTCCAGGCCCCCGGGCTCCGGTCCCTCATCAGCGCTCAGCGCACCGACTCGGCTCACTGGCTCCATCTTCTCAGACTCCCGGGAAGGAGGTGGAGGTGGGAAGGAGAGTAGGGGAAAGTCCTCACGCCGGAAGTGACGTTAGAAAAGCAGCCTGTTAGTCCTAAGACCACAGATAACAGGTAAGGAGGTCTCTGGTTGCTAGCAAGACGGCCCTGCACAAAAATTTGTTATTTACCGACAACAGATCATAGAATCATACATTCAGAAGGGTCCTCAGGCATTTTAAACTCAACATAAGTAAAACTGAAATAATTATGTTTGCCCCCAAATCCTCTGATTTCCGTATTTACTGTCAAGGAGACCACCGCCCTCCCAGGCACCCAGACATAGGGTATCAGCCGTGACTTCTCACTCTTTCTTGTTTTGTTTTTCTTTTTTGATGAGGCAGTGGGGTTAAGTGACTTGCCCAGGGTCACACAGCTAGTAAATGTTATGTGTATGAGGTCATATTTGAACTCAGGTCCTCCTGAATCCAAGGTCGGTGCATTATCCACTGCACCACTTAGCTGCCCTTTTCTCACTCTTTCTTACCCACTATATCTAATCTATTGCAAAGTCCTGTCAATTAGACCTTCGTAATACCCTATTCTCTCCTCCCAAACAACCCAGGTCCTCACCATTTCACTCCAGCTTTCTGGTCAATCTCCCTGCGTCATGTCTCTCCCCATTCCAGTCCATCATCAACTCCATTATTAAAATTGTCTTTCTAAAGTACAGATCTAACCATGTTACACACACACCCCATTCAATAAACTCCAGTAGCAACTTATTACCCCCAGTCTTCTTACACTTTACTCCCCTCCATGTATTCTATGTTCTAGTGCCACTGGCCTCCTTGTTATTCTTCAAACCAGACACTCCATCTCCTGACTCTGAATTTTTACTGGCTCTCTCCTGTGCCTGGAATGCTCTCCCTCCTTGTCTCTGCCTCCTGGCTTCCCTGGCTTCTTTCATGTCTTACCTAAAATCCCACTTTGTACAAAAAGCCTTTCCTGATCCTCCTTAATGCTAGTGCCTTCCCTCTTAGATTACCACCAGTTTTCCCTGTGTGTATCCTGTTTTGCCTGCATGTTGTGTCCCATTAGAAAATGAGCTCCCAAGGCAGAACTTTTAAATTCCTTTATGTCTCCAGCCCCTTAGCACAGTGCCAGGCAGCAATGGGTGCTTAATAAATGCTTGTTGATTAATTGACCTCAAAGGGCATGTAATTCAACCCCTCATTTTACCTGAAAGCTTAACGAAAAAGTACAAACAGAGCTTCATTTCTTTAACTAAAATCTTTTCCAGTTTAAATGTAAATGTCTTTGACTTGGAGTGATCAGTGAGCAGAGATAGTAAGAGCAATGAATGACTAATGGTGGTGTATTCTCTCAGACTGGCTTCCAGGAAATAATGAGACAGCTCCCCAGTGAAAGGCAGTTGACAATCTAGACTGTGGAAAGGCTAATTCCATGAAGATACCAAGACAGAAGAGACTCTTCCAGGAGACTAGATGTTCATGACCAACAGATAGGACACTGGCAACCAGAGCAGAGGAAGGCTCATGGACTTGGATGCCTAAGGTACAAAGGTAAGCTTCTCTCTTCCTCTCTTCCATCCCCTCCATTTCAAAATAGGTTTTTCACCTAGAGCTTTCTATTCCCTCTGCACAGATCTTTCATGATGCAATGATTTTATGGTGGTGGTGGTGGTTAAGCTTGATTCATTTAGATGAAAGAGTTCATTCTCCATTGTTAACAGTACAACTGTAAAAAGAAGTAAGGAGGAAGGAGGAAGAGAAGTTCCAGACCTCAAGCTGCATTATAAAGCAGCAGTCATCAAAACCATCTGATATTGCTTCAAGAACAGAGAGATCGGTGGAACAGATTAGACAAGGGAGATTCAGAGAAAAAAAATAGAAATCAATAATCCAGTGTTTATACAGTAAAAAAAAAATGTTACATAGGGGAAAACTCCCTGTTTGATAAAAACTGCTGGGAAAACTGGAGAGTAGACTGGCAGAATAGGCTTAGATCAATGCTTGCCACCACTTTCCATGATACTTCCTAAATGGAAACATGACCTTAATATTAAAGATCATACTAGAAAAAAATTAGGAAAGAAACAGATCATATACTTCTCACAGCTATGGGTAGATATATTCTTAAACAATCAAGAGATAAGGTTAATTACAAAAGAAAATAGACAACTGCTTGAAACTGAAAAGCTTTTGCTAGGTAACAATTAATACATTTAGGATAAGAAAGTGGTTGAATGGGAAAAAAATCATTGTATCAGATTTTTCTGATAAGGCTGTGGTATCTAAAATATTTAAACAATTAACAAATAAATACACACATATGATTAATAGCCATTCCCCAGTAGATAAATGGTCAAAGGACATGAACAAATAATTCTCAAAATAACTGCAATGTATTCACAATCACATGAAAAAAATGTTCCAAATCACTAATAATAAGAGAAATGCAAATCAAAACAACCCTAAGGTTTCACCTCACAGACTGAAAATTAGCAAAAATGACAAAAAATGCAAAAAGTCAATTCTGGAAGGGTTTTGGAAAGATAGGCACACTAATAAATCATTGGTGGAGCTATAAATGGTGCAACCATTTTGGAAAGCCATTTGAAATTATGCAAAAATTATGCAAAAACTAAAATTTTCATATCCTTTGAACCAGAGATTCCATTAATGGGCTTATAACCCAAGGAAGCCACCTAAATAAGTTGTGGTACTTAAATGTAATGAAATATTATTTTGGTATACAAAATGATTTGTGTGATGAACACAAAGATGCATAGGAAGATCTATATGAACAATATGCACAGTAAGTGCAATAATGTAAATGGAAAGAACAACACACCAGAAAGTTAAGGGAGGGAGGTCCACATGTTTTCAGACTTGTTCAAATATCAATCAGTTGTGCTGACTTTTTTTCCTTTCTACAAAATGCTATTTGTCATATGGAATGGCTTTCTGGAAAAGGTAGGGGGAACAATAGATGGGATACTATGGTGAGGTAAGAAACAGAAAACACCAATAAAAACTTATTTTTTAAAAAATAGTACAACTGTAAATGTTACCCAAGAACGCTAAGGAGGGAAAAGTGCATAGAACAGGGAAACAGAGAGTCTGAAGACAATTTTTCCTGCTGCATAATTCTGTAAAAGTCACAAAAAAGAATAAAACCTTCAGCCACTTACTTAGGAAACACTGCTAATTCCCCTGAGTACTAGGTGAACAATTCAATCTTAATATAAATATATATATATATACACACATATATATATGTATATATGTAGATGTAGATATGTATGTGTAGATATGTAAATTTGTATGTAAATCTTGTTTAGTGTCCTAATGCATTCCCATACATTGTCCCATAATAACCATTTCCCCTGTGACCAGGGACATTGTAAAAATTTGTCTAGCTGGTTCTAAGGACAGTATGTGCCCCTGACTCAAACTTATCTAAGGGGTCCATTAATATGTATTTTTTGATTACGATTATAACTAGAATGGATTTGTTTTGGAAAATTCATCACCTCCATTATATCTCCAGGGACACTAGTCTAACTGTTGGATAAACTGTTATGTATAGGGCTTTTCTTGTCACAGCAATAACTAACATAGGGGAAATAGAGCTTTGTCCCAGGGTGTCAATGATATCATACTTACAGTGACTTTTCAACTGTTTAGTATAAAGAACTCACAATAAAGCAGCCAAGCCATCCTGACAGGTATAAACATCATTTAGTCAAGATAATTAGATGTGTAACACTCTAGCATCTGGTTATCAGATCTACATAAGCAAGTTCTTCACTTAAATACTTGAATGGTACATGTTTATCACAAATTCAAGATGGAGCCTCTCATGTCAAGACTGTTTCTATGGCACCTCATTTGTGGGCCCACCTTCTACCACTCTTAAGTATAAAGGCCATACCATCTCCTCTTTTCATGCAATTGTACCCTCAGCTGGACATTGCTTTGCCACCTTACATTTCCCCCACTCAGCTGTTTTTGCACCAGGGGAAAAATTGTGATGTAGAAATAGAAAATGTTAGAAATTTTGTTTGGTGGGTTGTTTGTTTTTATATACATATATATATATATATATATATATATATAAAATAAGGCCTTTATAGACATGACCATTATGAAGTCACTGCATCCAGGACCATATGTCTCATTCCTTATGCCTGCAGTTCCTATATTCCAAAATATAAAGATTATTTCCATCAATATCAGAGGGGGAGAGGTTCCTCTGTTTCCTTGAGTACTATGACTGTCATGCTCTGTGTTCCTTACTTGTACAGATTACTGAAGTTTGATGATAGATAAAAAAGCCAATTGTCCAGAATGTTCCCAAGACATAACTTATGGTTGATACAAAAGAATCTCTGACATAGCTCTTCTACACAGTCATAGAAATAGTTTATACAGGAAATGTTCAGATTCCTCAGATTCTCTTCTGCAGAAGCTCAACAGTTCTTCAAAGTACACCCCATTCTGTAAGCTTAATGATTCATTAGTCCTAACATAATGACTCCAGTGACAAATATTTTATTATTAATAGGAAATACTGATTAGTTCCAGGTTGCTTTCTTTAAATTATAAAAGCTTCCAATAAACTGTCTCTTCCTCACTTGGTTTGACTCAGTCGCTAATGGTGAAATCTGAGTGTTCTGGATTCCTTGACACCACTGCATGGCTCTGATGCATGTCAATTCTGCCTTCTTAAGCAGAAGTGATCACATTCAGGAAGTTAGCCATGGATTACTCAAATGGAAAATTTCCAACCATTTTAAATTGATGTGCTAACACATGCTTCTTTCCACTGTGACTTTTTTTTCAAAGAGCTGATATATATGAGACAATTACTACCCCAATCACTTGAAAACCCTAAGACAATGAGGGTATTTCATCTCCTGGTACAGCTATGTACCCACAATTTCTCATTCCCTTAAAAGGCCAGTCTAGATTCAAATTTTATTCAATTAAGACCAAATTTTCAAGTTCAGTAATTTTTTTTTGTTGAAGGCCAAAAATATAACTATTAAGGAAGTAATGCAAGAATACAGAGAGCACTGAAATTAACTGT